AAGAGAATTGCTTAAGCCCAAGAGTTGGAGGTTGCTGTGAGCTGTGACACCTCAGCACTCTACCAAGGGTGACATAGTGAGATTCTGTCTCAAAAAAAAAGAAAATACAGAGAAATAATTCACTGAAATTGGGAAAACAATTAATAAACAAAATGAGAAATTCGACAGGGATTGATTGAAGTTACATATATAAAAACATCTAGTGCTAAAAATATAATCAATGAAATTTTAAAAAATGCAATAGAGAGCATTAATAGCAGAAATGATCAAGCAGAAGAATGAACTGTGAGCTCAATGAGAGATTATTTGAAAATATATAATCAGGTAAAAAAAAGAAAAGGAATAAAGAAATCTTGCAGGATTTATGGGACAGCATCGAAAGAACAAATTTTTGGGCGGTGCCTGTGGCTCAAAGGAGTAGGGTGCCGGCCCCATATGCCAGAGGTGGTGGGTTCAAACCCAGCCCTGGTCAAAAACTGCCAAAAAAACAAAAAAAAAAGAACAAATGTGTGAGGAATAGGAGTTCAAGAAGGAGATGAGAGAGACAATAGGGTAGAAATTTCAAAGAAATAATAGAATACTTTCCAATTCTAGGTTAAGATATACATATCCAGGTACAGGAACACCAAAAGTCTTCAATCAGACTTGACCTTAGTAAAACTATATCGAAACATACTATCAAACTGTCAAAAGTGAAAGAGGATTTTGGGGCCAGGTGTGATGGATCACACCTGTACTCCTAGCACTTTGGGAGGCAGGGCTGAAGAGTTTGAGACCAGCCTGAGCAAGAGAAAGACCCCATCTCTATTAAAAATAGAAAAAATTAGCCAGGCATTGTGGTGGGCACTTGTAGTCCCAGCTACTCAGGAGGCTGAGATAGGAGGATCACTTGAATCCAGGAGTTTGAGGTTGCTATGAGCTAGGCTGATGCCACTGCACTCTAACCTAGGCAACAGAATGAGACTATCTCAAAAACAAAAGTCAACTTGTTATTAACTTAAAATAGCCTGTTGTAACTGTAAAATGTGTTATGTAAGCCAAATGGTAACCAAATGCAAAAACCTATAGTAGATACATAAATTGTAATAAGTAAGGAATCAAATCATATTACTAGAGAAAAACATTTAATCACAAACAAAGACAGCAAGAGAGGAAGAAAGGAACACAGGATCTATGAAACAACCAAAAAACAATTAACAAAATGGTAGCAGTTAGTTCCTACTTATTAATAATTACCTGGGAATATAAAAGGATTAAATTATCCAATTAAAAGACAGAGTAGTTGAATAGATTAAGACCCAACTATATGCTGCCTATAAAACACTGTACCTTTAAGGATATACAAAGGTTGAAAGTTAAAGGAAGGAAAAAGATATTCCATGAAAATGAAAACCAAAACAAAATAATGACAGCTTACCAGCTACAATTAAATAAAATAGACTTTAAGTACAGAACCATAAAACAGGACAAAAAGGTCATTACATAATGATAAAGAGGTCAGTTAATCAAGAACACATAACAATTATAAATACATATATATGCCCCAAATATCAGAGCACCTAAATGCATAAAGTAAATATCAGTAGATATTAAGGGAGTGACAGACCGCAACACAATAATAGTAGGGGACTTCAATTGTCCCACTTTCAACAATGGACAGTTCACAAAACAGAAAATCAATAAAGAAACACTGAACTTGAACTTCACTTTAGAACAAATGTACCTAACAGAGATATATAGACTATTCTATCCAACAGCAGCAGAATACATGTTCTTCTAAAATGCACATCCATAAAGCATACTTCCTAGAAGATCATATAGGTCACAAAACAAGTCTTTCAAATTTAAAAAGACTGCAATTGTATCAAATATCTTTTCTGACCACAATGGTATAAAACTGGAAATTAGTAAT